CCTGCAGGCCCCTCCAGCCCCTCCTCCCGCTAACGTGGCTCTGGGACCCGGTCCCGGCCCAGACTCTGCTACCCGCCCCTCTCGGAGCCCCGATCCAGTGAGGGGGAGACACGTCGCGCCTCTGGCCCGGGCCCACCTCCAGCAAGGCTGGGACACCTGGATGCCCTCCTTGGGGGCCTGGGGGGAGGGCCGGTGGGGGCCGCCTGGAGAAGGGAAGGGCCAGGTCGGCGGGCCCCTGCGCCCAGGGCCCCAGAGGAAGGTGGGCTGGGGCGTCGTCGGCCGGCCGAGGGCTTCCTGCTATTGTCCCCAGCTGGTCTCCCCTTCTCCATCCCTCCCCAGCCCCCACTGGACGCTGGCTGCGACCCCGGCCCCTCCCCAGAGGTGGCTGCCGGGCGGGGAGCGGAGGAGGGCCGCCCCCTCTTCCCAGCCCCGAGGACCGGGAGGACCGGCGAGGGCGAGACCCTCCGGCCTCCCGTTCACTCCGGACGGGTGAGGCGCGGGGCTTGGTCCCCGCAGGGTGAGCCTTGCTGGGCCAGGGGTGGGCGGGGGCCGCCCGGCGCGGCTCCCCAGAACTGCCATGGGAAGCCCTCCCGGGGCTGCGCCGGAGTTAAGTCTGGGGCCGAGGCTGAGGCCAACCGAGTGTTTTCCGAGGCTGGACCGGGCGGGCCAAGAGGGGCGGCGGGTGGGAGGGCGCCGGCCTGCTGGGAGGGCGGGGCTGGGGTGCAGCTATCAGAGCATTTTGCCTGGAAATGAAGAGCATGCAAATGAGATGCAAATCAGCCTCCATTGTCCCCAGCCGGGGCGCTTCTGCTGGGAGGCGCTGGATTGGAGGCTTCACCTTGGGAGTGGTCGGCATGCCCCCTCGCCCAGTCACCCTGTCCCCAGCAGTTCCTGGCCGGCCAGCCCCAGCCCCTGCCCTCGTATCTCCGCTGGACTCGCCAGCACCTTTGTCCCCAAGTTCAGTGTCAGCCCCCCGCGCCCCCACCTGCCGGCAGCGTCTCCCCTGCCGGGCCCCAGACCTGCCCTGTGCAGCCGCAAGGGACAGGGACGTCCCTCAGTCTCTCCTCCTTCTGTCCCTTCATCAGGTCAGAGGTCGCCCATCCCCCTCCAGCCCTCACCGGAGCCACCACCCCAGGTAAGGAGCGGCCAGCCCCTGGTGGGGGAGGCAGCCTGGCGGGGGGCAGGAGGAGGGTCTGGCCCGCTCCCCACTTGCCAGCGACCAAAGTTGTTTCCTGGGTGAAGATACCAGTTGCCCTGGGCAACTTGGGGGGGGCAGAAGGGGGAGGATGAGAGACAAGCTGTGTCCCTTTCTCTTCCCTCTGGAGCATCAGCACCCGGAAACATGGGGGGGGGGCTTGGCCTTGCCACACCAGAGGGTCGTTAGCTGGCTGGCTGCGCCCCTGGGGAGGGGGTCATCATTAGGTGCTCCCCCTTCCCCCTCCTCTGGCTCTCCGGGGACCCCGTCTGACGTCAGCCTTCCCACCAGTGACGCTGGGCGGGGGGGTGGGGTACTTGGGTCCCAGCTCAAGAGGAGTTGTTGGGGAGACGACGAGCTAGGCCTTCTTGGAGGGGACATGGCGGAAGGACTGGTGAGGGAGAGCTCTCGGCTCTCGGCAAGGGGGTGCTCACGCTTCCCGACCCGGTTTCCGGAGCCGTCTGGCCCCTCACTTCAGTTTCGGGGCGGCAGGAAGCCAGCACACACGTCCGCCGAGGCCCGGGCTCAGTGGTCGGGACAGTGGCGGGAAGGAGGCCCGGCTCCCCGCCCTCCGTCACGTCCAGCTTCTCCTGGACGTTGGGCCGCAACGGCCTGCCAGTCTCTGCATCACTTCTATTTCCATTTGGAGGCAGCTGGGGCGCAGCCAGGGTGGGCCTGGGGGGCGGCACGGAGCGCCGGGAGGGGCACAGTGGTCCAGACAGCTGCAGTTTGAGCTAAATTTAGCCTCTGATCTGGCTTTGAAGCGGATCCGTTTTTGCTGAGGTAGCCCCTCACCCCAGCTTCTCTCTGGCGAGGGCCCCGAAACCCAAGTTCGGGCAGGACCCCCGAGGCGCGCCCTCCGGCCGGAGGGCTGCAGCGCCCCTGGGGTCTGGAGGAGGGGCCGGCCTGCCTCTTCCCCTGGAGCCACGAGCCGCTATTTATAAATTTAAGGCTTCAGTGTCTAATTATAGCTGAGCAGGGGCTCGCGGGGTGGGGGGGCAGGAGGTGTCACCTACGGTCCCGGACCCAGGCGGGAGAGCCAGGCTGAGTGGGCTGGGCAGGGAGCGGCCGCCTGGCCTCACCTGGGGTCACCGCGGCCGTCACCAGCCGGTCCGGACCAGTTGGAGCGGGAAGGCCGAGCGACAGCGACAGCTGCAAGACGGCGGCGCGGGGTCCTCTGGGGATAGGCCGGGGGCGCCGCCTGGGGTGGGGAGCTGGCCCTCCCCACTTGGCGCTCTGCTTTCAGGGCCAGCTTATGGGTGAGGGGGCGCCGCCTGGGGCCTGAGCTGCCCCGCACAGGATGCCCCGTGCCCCCCGCTTCATGCCCCTGCTGCCGCTGCTGCTGCTGCTCTCCCTCCCGCACGCCCAGGCCGCCTTCCCCCAGGACCCCCTTCCTCTGCTGACCTCCGACCTGCAGGGTGAGTGCCCCCAGCCCGAGCTCTGGCTCCGACCGGCGCAGCCCCTGTGTGGGAGGTGGGTGCCGGGGCCTGGCCAGCAACGGGGCACAGAGAGGTGGCGCCCCTGGTACCGCGGGCCCGGGGCCCCCGCCGCCCTCACTCCGGGCAACCCCGTGTGTGTGTGTGTGTGTGTGGTGAGGAGCGTGGCGCGAGGCGTGTGGGCCACCTGCGCCTCGTCCCTCATCTGCCAGGCGGCCTGCTCCGCCCGGGGACCGTGGAACACTGTCCACGTGGGGCCACCCCTGCTGCACCCGGCGTCAGGGGAGGCCCCAAACCCGCGGCTTCTGAGGAGAGCCTCTGCCTGGACCGTCTCTGTGGGGGGGGAGCCGACGTGGGGTACGGGGAGTCGCTGGGTGGGGACAGCAAACGGGCGCCTGCCGCGTCCCCAGCGCCCGGTGTCCACTTACCCACGCGCGGGGCTCCTGAGCGCAGCTGGCCACGGCGCCCACGCTTGGGCCCCCGGACGCTGAGCTGGTCCGAGGAGGCGGAGAGGCTCGCAGGGTGCAAAGAGAGGGCCCGGGGTGGGG